TGACGACAAGAAAGATGGGAATGATAAAACTGAGGAAGGGAGTGCCAATGGAGATGAAGAAGAGCCGTCTGACTTTTCATTGTTTCGAAGGTTGTTCCGTGTGCATCCTGAAGATGCAAAAAGTATTGCTGCAAATGAAAACAGCAGTACTAGTGGCTTGCCAGAAAGTAGTCCAGGGACTGAGAATTTTTTTCGCAAATTGTTTAGAGATCGTGACCGTTCAGTTGAAGATTCGGAGCTATTTGGTTCAAGAAAACACAAAGAGGTAAGCTTGTAACTACTTATCTATATGTTGCTTCGCTTTTAGTGGAAGTATGGCCTTGCAGTCCGTGCTTATTTTGTTTTATTTTATTTTTGTTTATTGGGAAACAGACTATTTTATTGAAAAAAAAGACAATAAAGCAATAAGGGCCAAACAAAAGTGGTCAAGAAGACCACTAATAGAAATAACAGAACAGCAAGAACTGGAGCCTAATAGCCACTACTCCAACAAATTCTAAAGGATCATTGCCTGCCATAGATTAAATTTGTTTAATTAAATAACTTTTTCCTTCAGTTTTATTAGATTCGGTGTTATGAGCTGAGATATGTTATAATTAGCTCTTGAAAATGCTTAGCTGCTATGTGTGAAATTCCTCAACTGTCAAATTCTTGAATTAAATTTTTTTTTTTCTTTCAATGGTGTATGTAATCCAGTATGATCTCTTTAATCTAGTTTGTGATTTTTATGTTTTAGTAATTATTTTTTCTTGAAAGTTAAACATTAGAATGTCAGTTTTGGTTAGGCACTGCCACAGAAATGTAGTTCTAGAAGGCCACTGAATGTAGGTATGTAGAAGTTAATCAGTAATAAGTAGGCTGAGATGGCATGGAATACAAAACATGTTCAAGTGTTGAAGTTAGTAAACACTGATTAGTGGTAATACTACTGTGGCTTTGATATTTACGCGTTCATGTGCAGTGTAGTTTTGATATATACATATGTGCAAATGCATAAAGATATCCACGTTTATTTATTTATTTATTTTTTATATTTGTTTTAGTTTTTCAAAAGCTTAATGTTTTCATATAAACCTTGTAATAACATATAAAGAAAGGGTGATAAGTATTTGGTTATTTAAAACGTGGATCATATGGACAATAGATATTTTTCTTACTGTGAAGTTGAATGGTAAGAACACAGAGGTGAGAAGGGGATTTATGAGAGTAAAAATATAGCATAGGAAGGGACTAGAAGTAGACGGTTTGATGAGAAGCTGAATATATTTTCTTAAAAAATGAGATGAGAAGTAAAGGAATATGATATTATGTTGATAAGGGGGTTGATTCTATTGGATGAGGAGCAGAAAGACTGATGGAGTATAGGAATGAAAATACCTTTTAAAGAAACTTTCTTGTTGAATGATAATATTCAAATGACATGGAACTTTTGGATGATTCAGAATTGTGGGAGAGGAAGCTTAGAGTAACTTAAAGCTGTATGGTGATGTCCACATATTTTGTGAAATTAACTTAAACCGGTCATGTGATCTCCATAAAAAATTAAAAGTTCAAAACATGTATATTGAATATAATGTACAAACTCTAGAGTTGTTAAAATTTGAACTTTGACTGGGTAGGGTCATTTGCAGTTTTTTTCTCTAATTTGACTGGTTGAACGAGAAGTTGATTTCCCCAACTTCAGTAGCAGAAGAGCAGTTAATTCTACCTTCCGTTAGTTTTATATTTTGTATTCTGATATTTAGTGATGCATTGACATAATACTACCTCTAATCCTACCAACATATCATGGCATGTTTTGAGCTCTTAGCCTCTTAAACTACACTCATATGCAAGATGAGGGAATTATAGGCAATACAGTTCCATTCTATTGTATTTGTTGGGGTTAAAGTTCATTTCAAAGAGATGCACAACTTATTTGATGGATCATATTTATTCACTGTTATTTTGTTTTGACAGAAACGCCCTGGTTCACCAAAGCAACAAAATGAAAAGTCAAGTGTGAAACCCCCACTTCCAAATGGTACAACATCCCAATACCGTTTCAGTCACTATGTGACACGTCGTATGTCTTAGTGGATATATATCCAGTTGAGGATCGCAAGAGTGCTCTTCGTGAGGTTGACGTTCATCTGTCTTATCATTTACATTTACTCTGCACACACCAGCATTTAAGGGCATGGCCAGTGTCTGAGTCAGAATTTAATCAGAATGGGGGCATTAAAAATATTGAAGGTTACGCTATATGTAGCTAGAGATGTCCTTTATATCAAATTTAGTTTCCTATACAAAATTTGAGACCAATTTATTCTACGTAAATGTTGTTGAACTCTTCCTTTCTCTAAGAAAAAATTGCACCCCTCATATACATTGGGAAATAATTTATGCAACCCTGTTTTCACTTTCTGCGTACACTTATTTTTTCTAGCCACATGATATTGAACAACTCAAAGAACAATTAAGGGACAGAATTAGAAGGCGGTGTGCATATGGTGCAAAATGGTGTAAAATGGTGTTCACAGTAATCGCTTCCTATACTTACATAAATGCTACCTTACCCTTACATTTACAATATTAATGCATACTCTTGACTATTTAGGTGAAGACCAATGTATAAGGTGCTCTCTTCCCTTGACAAATGCAATGCATACTCTTGACTATTCAAGGAATTGGTATGTGTAAACTTTCTGAGTTATAATATTACTATTTTTCTTTGGAATTGTGTCAAACTCAGGAGGAGTATCTTGAAGAATACTTACTTTATCTTAATGTACTCTTTTTCCTTATGATTAGAGGCATTTTTCCCACTGGGTTTTTGCTACCTAACTAGGTTTTAATGAGGCACTCACCTTGGGCTGATCATATTCCTGATGCGTCCTGTAGATGTTTATTTTGACTTTTGCATTTTTCACGCATTTTTCCTTAGATTATAAATTTTGTCCCTACTCAGGTTTTTGCCATAGCCTTAGGGTTTTTTTTTTCAGTGAGACTTACTACTTTATGCAAGTTCCTACCTTATTGAGAATAAGCGTTGTTCCTTAGAATCAGTGCCGACGAGTCAACTTCCTCAACGTTTGTATGATGATGAAATCTACCTTGAGTATTTACACACTCAAGGGGGAGTGTTGTGAACTTCTCTAGTTTAAGTGTGATTGTGTCAATCTTAGATTAGATTTGATTGTAGTTATTCTTCTCTATATGGACTTGTATTCCTTGGGATGAAGGATTTCTTCTATCTTTTTACTACTATAAATAAAGGCACTACGTATGGGGAATCATAACATTCTCAATACACAATTCCACGATTCTACAAACACATCTCTCCTCTCTCTCTACCCTTGTTGCCGGCCCTCTCCTTCTTGTCAAATAAAATAGGCTACAACATAATTCTCATTTTACTACCTTCAAATATTCTGATTTTCTAACTTTCATACTTTTTTTCATCCCAATTTCATACCTAAAAGTAAAAATTGTGTGACACCTTCGTACTTTTTTTGTTTTTCCGTCAAAACCATTCTTAAAGTGTGACGTTGCACTCACTCACCAAGAAGATTGAAGAAAATTCAAAACCACAAATTTATTCTCTCTCTCTTTCTTTCTTTTTTTTTTTTTTTTTTTTTGCACAAAACCCAGATATTTGAGGCGGGTCCTGTCAGAGACTTGGCAACGGCGAAGTAGAGAGGCAGGTGGAAAATTAGGGTCACGAATGTTGGCGACGGCGAAGGCAGAGAGGCAGCGGGTCCCCTCAGAGTTGGCCCACCCGAGAACTACAATATCGGGGCGGTTGGCAAGTGGGTGTCGAGCATGTGCGAGTGGATGCTGCCCACTCCGTCGTATGAGTTCGCTTCGCCATGATTGATTGGATCAGAGTTGTAAAAGCAGGAACCAAAGTAAATTTTTAAGGTGGAAAGTTGGGGTTTTTGAAGGAGTGGCGACGGCGAAGACAGAGAGGCAGATTCAGATGAGAGTTTTGGAAGCATGTGGAAGAAGAGAAGCGATTAGAGAGAAGAGGGCTGCTTCAATCTCCTCAACTTGCAGCCTTCATTGCTGCTATACATTTCAATATCTCCTCCAAGCGCCAATATGATTTTGATATTTTTATTTAATTAATTAATATATTGTAAATAAATTTTCTGATTTTCTAATTTTTGAGTTTTGTTGTTTTATTTCGTGAGGTCATAGTGACACATGGCATGCAATCATTATTGACATAGACGCTACATCACGTTTTAATAGAGGTTCTGACGGAAAAATTAACAGAAGTATGAAGTTTCACACAATCCTTTCTTTAGGTATGAAGTTGGTATGAAAAAAACTTATGTATGAAAGTTTGAAAATCACAATACTTTAGGGTAATAAGTGAGAATTACTCAAAACTAGCATATGCCTACACTGTGAACATGTTTTATTTTTGTTTTTTAAAATTGAAATGAGAGAACGAGAGAGAGAGAGAGAACAGGGGAGTGTGAGTGGGGAGAGAGATGTTTGAAGGGAATCTTAGTGAAACATTCATGGTACTGTTTACTTTTAACGAAAATGATATTTTTACCTTAAAAAGTTGTTCCTGATACTATTCACTTACACCTTTATTTTGTTATTTTCGTTAAAACAAAAATTTTTGAGGACTTTTTGTTAGTTTTCCTATTTTTGTTTTTATTTTGTATTTTAATATTAGATATATGATAAAATCACATAAGGCTTAAATAAAAAATAGCAAAATTTGTTTGTGTGAAAAATTACATTACTGCTCATTATTAATTTTTTTTTTTTTTTTTTGTTGCGATACAAGACTAAATAGTCTTTTCATCATATTTTAATTAATAAAGAAGATTTTTTTAATAAGTATTAATAAGTAATTCAGATAATACGATGTTTAGGTCCGAAGTAGAGCCTATACAGAGCTTGCCTAAGTGTAACTAATTAAAAAATAGAAATTCACCAAAAATATGACATACATTATTGACCAAAGAAAAAGCACATACATATAGCAGCAGTCAATGTAAGTTCAAGTTGGTTTTTATTTATAGCATCGAAGGACATACATTATTGACGAAAGCAAAAGCACATACATTATTGGCTAAGGAGCGCATACATTATTGGCTAACAAGTAGCAAATCTAATAATTCCCGGCCCAACTAAAGATAACATAGGAACTTAAGACAACTTTCTTTTGTTCCTATCAAATTTTCCCCGCCCAAAAGTAGAAATTGATAATTCAACAAGAAGCGGAAATTGCATCCATATGAACGAGATAACAGGAACACCGGCAAGCAAAATGCTTGGAATAACAATTGTTGCTTTTCCGTCAAGCATAATATAAAGTCCACAAGAAAAGACAATCATCATGGTGGCAATAGATAAAAAGAGGGTGAAAAGGCCAACTATCATTTTTGTGGGCAAGGATTTGAGGAAATCCTCTTCAGAATAACGTGATGTGAGAATTCCCAGAAACATGATAACTGAAGTTGTGGAAGAAAATAGTGAGATTGCATCTGAAACTAGAAAAGTTGTGAATACCCTTCTAGTATGAAGACCTGTATCTCCATTATTTTGACCAGGAATTGTGAATGATGCCGAAAACATCATGGTAACAATGAGAGCACCTACAACTGTGCAAGATGTTGATGTGGTTTTCATTGATTTTTCCGCCGCTTTCCTCAATTCCTTGTGGCTCTTAGTAAATACTTCACGGGGTGTCATACCATCTATGTTTACATATGCACGATCCATAGAATCTGCAACGCTCTCCACCTCCTGCATTTCATCCAACCAAAGAACTTTATGGTGATGTGACTATGAAGTACATCTCTTCTTATCCTTAAACAATTTTCCCCTTGAGACACCAGTACGAAGTACTTATCTATATTGTTACATGACAATGAGTTTGTATGAATCAGCATATACTTTAATATGAGATATACAGGAGCGCAAGTGCTAACTGGTTAGTAAGTTAAAAAATATGACATTAACCGCTCGTTTGGACTCACTCCACAACAAAATCTCATGATTCAAAAAGTTCTATTTAAAATTCATTATTCGAAGAATACCCTTGCAAAAGAATTAGTCAAACTGGAAATATAAACATAAACATGCATAAATAGATAAGTAATCACCTTGAACCATTGTAGTTCACTTTGCATTTGCAAAGCTGCACCTTGAATGTGATTAATCGTTGACAATGTCTTTGAGGAAATATTTCCTACTGTATGTAGCATATTATTGCGAAAGTCATCAATTTCTTCTACTGCCTGACTTGTTTCGTTCATAAGATTATAAACTTTGTGCTGACGGCATTCAGCGGCAATTTTGAACAGGTTCTGTTCGTTTTCGTCATAAATTCCGTCTAAGGGCTGCTGTAAGTAAGTTTTACAAAATTGAGTAATATATTCCACATGCCCTCGTTCTGCTGCTACGAGCAGTGCATCCTGGAAGCATTCGTGTCCATACTGCATAGTTTGTGCCTCTTTAAACATGAGAGGTAGAAACTGGTTGACTCGATCATGTATTAATTTCATCCGATATATACGATTGATTCCTAGGTTCAATGAAACAGATATAAATTACGAACATTGTTAAATATAAATGTTGAGTACAACAATAATAATAATTCATCAGTGTAAAGATATGAATGTGTGGCTTACCCAAAAGTTCTAGGAGATTCGTCACTAGTGCTCGGATAACTGAACCCGATTCTGCATTGCAAGTCCAATATGATGGCCGAAAACGTTGGTTAATACACACACAAGCTATGTAATAAAACAAGGGATAAAAAAAGGAATGCAATATAGGAATAGGACTGTAAATCAGCTCAAAACATCTTGTATTGGGTTTGGCACTTTGGCTTGTAGCAGAAACAAGTCAACACTTAGCTTTAGAGAGAAAAGGACCCAGCTTGAGCAGTGTGATATTTTGTTTGGGTCGACTCAGTTATAGCCATAAGTAGGTATTAGGGTATAATACGGATGAAGATGTTCGTACATCTATATTTGTAGTAGCATTATATAATAACTTGCCTTGGTCCGAGATATTCGTTTGATCATTCTGACCATCGTTGATGGGAGAAATGCATATACCTATCAAGAAAAGAAAATAATCTAATCAAATACTATTTTGAAGCTAAGGTTTTTTTATTTTATGTTATTTACTCATTCAGTACTTCTAATTGAATAAGTATCCTATCATAAGAATGTTAATTGCTGTAAATGACACGAACCAAAAATATATAAGAGTGGAAATAAATGATATATATTACATGGCTATAATTTTTGAGCATTTTTAAACATTCCGAAAGAAGTCGACCTCAAACCAACGTGACTATAAGTGTTGTTACGCTCGTTCACTTGTTTTTTTTTTTTTTTTTTTGCCACATTCACAAAAAATCCCTTGACAACACTTGTTATAGTTAAAAAAAAAAAAAAAAAAATCCCCAATTTACTAAAATCTTATAAAAATGCAATTAACTTATAACAGGACCTCGCGTTAAAACTTAACACGGACATATATTGTTTTTTTCTCTTTTGGAAGATTTGAGTTTGTTAACCAGTTATTTGTTGCTGCAAAAACTGATTCTTAGAGAATACATGTGGAAACAAAAGACTAATTACAACATCTGTTGATTTTAATCTTGTGAAAAGAGTAGAGCTACATGATTTTTATTGTGGAAGGTAATTATGAAGATTGCAGCCGCACAAAATATGAGGAGTAAATAAAAAAAAGGGTATTGTACTAACCTTTGTAAATCCATTTTTCCCAAAAATTGAGCCGGCATACACTTGCAAATGCAGAATGGTTGCTGGCCAATTTTACTAAGGGGAAATTCCCGTTGTAGTCTTTCTCCATTCCCAATTGTGGATAATGCCGAATCAAATCCCATGCAATAACTATATAATAGAAATGTGAAAAGAAAAAAAAGAGTAAGCAGAAAATTTGCAACAAAAAAACAAAAAATCAGGGCAAACTGTCATTTTCCCTTAATCTATCACCTTATTGTCAATGTAGATAATATAGGACGTTGACATTAATAAATGGTAATATTTGAACACGATGGATTATCTCTCTTACCAAATTTATGGAGTTCAAAATCCAAAGAAACTAGGTGAGAGGCATCGCGAACGTATAAAGTATTGGTAGGAGTGGCATGATAGAGATAATGAGCCATTCTTTCCCCATTTGGATAACATAGAGCCTCGAGACATAGAGGAATCGGCCTGTCTCCTTCAGGATTCCAATCGACGGTAGAGTAAACGCTAAGCCGTTCGTGGTCAGGTAAAATGCTAAGCAATTTGTTGTTCTTTTTAACCATTCTTTTAGCTACGTCCACCCTTTCTCGATACAATGATATTACCATAAAAAGAGCTGTCCTACCATCAGGGTCTTGTATTTCCAAATCTTCCCTTGTCATTATATCCACCAGTTGTTTTATGACGCGCACCTCACTTCTGAATTTCAAGACGGCGTAGTGAAGAACTGTACCGCCACCTTCAATTCCGTCATATGAAATTCTTGCACCTCCGAGCTTGGGATGTTTGCGAAGTAACTTGATCGCATTATCCCAATCTCCCGACTTCACATATTTGACGAAAGTTCCCCGGATATTATTGCCACTGCTCTCATCATCTCCTGCGTGCCGTTTTATATACAAATTCTAACATTGTTAATAAAACTGTTATTGGCGGTCGAAAGTATTAATTTATTCTGCATTTCTACCGGATGAACAAAAAACAAAATACAAAAAATGTAAGAAAACTATTTTAGATTGTTAATAAAATTCTCTTAGCAGTCGATGAAGATTTAATTACTATTCACTAGAATTATATAGAAGTCTTAATATCTATACCTCCGGTGCTCCCTTCTTCCATTGCCAACTCTGGTTTAGCATCCTTTTGAATTGTTCCTGTTGAATACGTTTGAACAAGCATCCTATCGTCTGAAGGAAATGTTGCTTTCCTCAAGCCTGAAAAAGGAAATCTTGGTCTTCAGATGTTACCATTCAATTCTCAATTTGCCTTTACTTTTGCCTTCTTACAAATGCCTATGTGGGTGAGAAGTTCAGCTAGTACTGGAGAAATAATTGTGCATACTCTTTTTTATACATGACATTTCTACTAAGGAGTATAAAAATAAATTGGTTTCGAACTCGTCGTCTACGAGATTCAAAACTAACACATCTCACTTATAAGTGATAGAGTGTAGAACAGATGACAAAGCTGATCGAAGGAGCAGCTTGAAAGACGCAAAATTGGCAGCAAGACTTGCAGGTTACAGATCTGGTCATCGGTGTCAAAATAGGGCTTAATATGTTGTTTTGAATCTACAAGTACACTTTCTGGGTGCAGGTGGGTTTTTAATCTTTCATATTTTCAATCAAAGGTAGGTTTGTAATCTTATTCATATTATCAATCAAATATGAATTTTACTCTCTCTTTCCTCCTAGAGAATTCTAAGGTTTGCTAGCAATTTTCTAGTAAAAGAATAACGTTTGAGCTTCCTGATTATATCCGATGCGGTCTAATTGTGCATACACCGCATTTTCACATACATCTTAATTATATAACACATCAAATCAGAATATTTTAATCCATAATAAATACAAATACTCATCAAATCAGATAATAGATTACCTACAAGGTACGAATATTTTTTTTCCTCCAATTTTTCATTCATGTACGCACCTTTATTATCTGGATTGAATTCTTTAAGCAAAGTATCCCATGCTTCTTTGGCTGTGGTTTTGTTCTTGATAAGTTTGTAAGTATCATCCCCGCAAGAATTCTGAATTGCATATAAGGCATTGACATCCTTCCTCTTCCAAGCCTCTTTAGCTTCTGATCCCTAGAGAAAACAGGAGAATGAAAATATATGAAATAAGTAAGAATATATATACATATATATAATCTAATTTCCAAACAAATTGAATATCATAGAACATACATCAGTTGAAGAAGGATCAATTGTGCCTTCGACAATATCCCAAAGATCTTTTGCCATTAAGTAAGTCCTAACCCGAGAACTCCATTCTTCGTAGTTCTTAGAGTTAAGAACTGTAGCAACAACTGTATCTGTTGCCATGTTCAATCTGCCTATTTATTGAATGAGATTATGTCATTCGAGCTTTGAGCATATGTGAAAAAAAAATATACTAAGCTAAAACGTTTGAAACAAAGGAAGTCTTAAGTATACTTAAGCATACTTAAAACGATGAGCAGATCAAGAAATCAGTGACGACACGACCCAAATGTGAGATGACAAACTTGAACAACCACCAAAGCATGTAAGAAAAAGGGATCAAAGAAACCATATCCGTTACCCCCGAGCTTTGGCGCTATTTATAATCTCATTCCAGCAACTATTAAAAAAAAAAGAAAAAAAAAAGGGGTTTTTGATACAGATGCCTAGGTTTTAAAATTTTGAGATAATGCTGACATGGCTATTATTTAGGCGTCCTAATCAAATTTCAAAATAGAACCAATGTTTAATCTAAAGAGTATTAGAAAAGTGCAGGGGATTCTAAATTTCCCAAAAACTAATAATCTCATTGCAAAAAAAAAAAAAAAAAATAAAAACCACTAACGAAAAGTCCTAAAAATCTTTAGTGTTAACGAAAATGACAAAATAAATGTGTAAATGAATAGTATTGAAAATGACTTTTTAAGGTAAAAATGTCATTTTCGTTAAAAGTAATCAGTACCGAAATGTTTCATTAAGATTCCAAAGAAAAATGGAAAAGACAGGTGTAGTCTCACCTTTGATGTGTTGTCTTTCTTTTTTTTCAAAATGTCTTTTTCTTTCCTGGATAATTTGAACTTTAAGTCCAAAAATCTGATGGAATAAAAAGACACATAGCAGTAGGATAGTGGTGGCTGCCATGTTAGCAAATACTGTTGGAAAGATTTAGTTACAATATGGTGGGATTTGCTCCTACCTTTGGGCTAAAACCTAAAATTTTTAACCCAGAAAATTTAGGTTTTAGCCCAGAAGTAGCTTTTCTGCTCCAATCATTTTGGTCTAAAATTTTAGCCCCAGATTATTAAGGAATGAACTTAGACCAACTCCAATGGTGGGCTAAATGTCAAATTCCCCCTATGCACTCTCCAACCGAAGCTAAAACATTGGGCTAAAAGCCAAATGCTAAAGCTGGGCCAAATATCCCCCTAAATTCCCCCCTGTGCGAGTGGACTCGTTGGCAATTGTGCTAGTCTCGGCCCGTCCATGCTCCAACGCGCTCCACGTGTGCACCTGCAAGGGTTTCCCGACAGGGTGGGCCCCTCTGTCAGGCCGTGTGTCGGCCACCCACTTGGGCTCCCAACGGCTATAATTACATCCAAGGGCTGTGATTTAAGGACTGTTGGTTGATCCAACTGTTCAGATTCAAATTTCATTTTTTTATAATATGTTATTTTAAAATACGTTGAATCCAACGGCTGAGATCGAATATAATCAAATCTAACGGTAAAAAAAAGATCTAACGGCCCAAATTTAAATCCAACGGCTAGAATAATTAAAAAAAAATTATTTAACTCAAAATTCACCCAAAAACTCCATAAATACCTAATTATTTGTTCAAACATCCACACAAAACTCAATTTTCTCCTACAATACTTCCAATTTATCTTTCTACCATTTCTTTCAATTTTCAAATTGTTCAACATGGCAAGAGAGCATATTAGAGGTCGTAATTGGACCTGTGAGGAAGATGTTACTTTATGTTTGGCATGAGTTTCTGTTAGCGAAGATGGTGCAATTGGCACAAATCAAAATAAAAAAGTTTTGTGGGATAAAATCATTGCACAGTTTCAAGAAAACTGCAACGGCGGCGGGCAGGACGGTGGTGGTGTTTATGATCGGTGGAAGACTATCAACAAAGCATGCACTTTATGGAAGGGAAACTTGGAGAGAGCTGTGGTTGGCATGCCTAGTGGAATGAGCGCCATAGAAATTGCGAGTTTTGTTCTTGATATTTTATTTGTCATGTATATAATATTAGTTTGCAACTAATTATTTTTATGTATTTTTTGCATAGGGTGACAAACAATGGAAATTTGCAAGATAAGAGTAACACCAAAAAATCAAGTTTTTAAGTTGCAACATGCTTGGGACATCCTCAAGGATTGTCCGAGGTGGGGAACCGATGCTGACCAACAATGGGAAAGATTATTTCAATGTGAAGCCACACAGACAAATGCCGGAGATGAAGGTGTCGATGAAATGACCCCATCTCCTTCTTTTGCAAGGCCCCGGGAAGAGATAAGCAAAAGGAAGCAAAGAGAAAAGGGAAGTCCTAAGATTCGATGAGTGGACACTTTGCTACTGGAATTGCAAAATTGAACGAAAGCCATAGCGCTCGCCAAGAAAAAATGACCCGAATGCGTTTGCAAATGAAGGAAATCTCAGATAAGGAGCAAGAGAGGTTTGAAGTTAATTTGATGATGGAGGATCTCAGCAAATACACTCCATAGAGGAAGAAGTTCTTACGTGGTAAGCAAAAGAAAATTTTGCAAAAGTCTGCCTCAAGGAGTACGTTTCAAGATGATGAATCCTCTGAACCTTATATCCCACTTCAATCATGAAGTCCATCACCAAGTGAAAATGGTGGATATGATTATTAAGTTTATGTAGTGTATGAATTATGTGCTTTATTTGACACACCCCGTCCCGAAGGAGGGCATGCTGGCCGTCACGTGAGGGTGACGTAACCATTTGCACAGTTCGGAAGCTTTAAAATATACAACTTCTAAAATGAAACACCCGAAGGTGAGTCCTCATTTGGTCCATTCTGTCAGAACACCGTTGAATTTCCTCGTAGTCACCACACCTTTGCAATTCTTGAGAACTCACACGAGAACTTTCCAGTGGGTCACTCATCATGGGAGTGCTCTTGCACGAACTCTCTTAACTTCAGAGTTCCGATAGAACGCGAAACCAGTGAGCTCCCAAAAGGCCTCGTGCTAGGTAAAGATGAGAATATATATATAAGGCTTACAAGATCCATTCCCCTGGGCAATGTGGGATGTTACAATCCACCCCCCTTAGGGGCTCGACGTCCTTGTTGGCACACTACGGCCAGGGTTAGGCTCTGATACCAAATTGTCACATCCCAGCCCAGGGTCCACCACATCCTGGGCCCACTCCACCACTGTAGCACGATATTGTCCGCTTTGGGCCCCGACTACACCCTCACGGTTTTGTTTTTGGGAACTCACACAAGAACTTCCCAGTGGGTCACCCATCATGGGAGTGTTCTCGCATGAACTTGCTTAACTTCAGAGTTCCGATAGAACCTGAAGCTAGTGAGCTCCCAAAAGGCCTCGTGCTAGGTAGAGATAAGAATATACATATAAGGCTTACAAGATCTATTCCCTTGTGCGATGTGGGATGTTACAGTTGGAGCAGAAAAGTTGTTTTGGGGCTAAAAGCTAAATTTTCCGGGCTAAAAATTTTGGCTTTTAGCCCAACCATTGGAGTTGGTCTTAGACTATTTTTTTTCTTAAATTAACTTTTTTTTAACAAAAAAAAAATTATGTAGGCTATTGCAAATTAATTTTATGAACATTTTAATCTAAAAATATTTAAATTTTGAGAAATATTGAAAAATCACTAAATCGATACATGAAACTCATGAAAACACTATGGAAGAATATGAAAATCATGATAGAGATGTATAAAAATAAAATACATAGGTATTTATAAAATTTTTTGGTGAATTTTGAGTTAAATAATATTTTTTTAATTATTTTAGTCGTTGGATTTAAATTTCAACCGTTAGATTTTTTTTTTACCTGTTAGATATGATTATATTCAATCTCAGCCGTTGGATTCAATGTATTTTAAAATTACATTTTTTGACACACCCTGACCTCAATTGAGGCATGCTGGCCGTCACGTGAGGGTGACGTAACCATGTGCGCTGTGCGGAAGTGGTAATGATATGAAAATGCGAATAAATAAATAAAAAAACACTAGTTATCTTACCTTAGACTAGCCTATAAGTATGAGTGAAAGTGATTAAAGTAAAGACACACACAACCAGAGCATAGGTATCGATGTGCAGTCCAGAAGACTAAGTAATAATTATACAGATCATAAAAGAAACCCTACATTGGTGGATGTCTGTCAGAACTGTCGTGAAGTCCTTGTAAGCCACCGACACGAACTTCTATCTAGAACCTGGAGGGGCGCAAAACAGAAAGTGTGAGTGGGATAATACTGTAAACATATATGAACTATACTCAAGAATAACCAAACCATGTGTATGTTATGATAATTATCTCAACCATGAATAAGTAAGCCAGGTGAATTGCATTAATATAAAGTGACATCTCAGCCGGAGTCACCTAACGTGAACTGTACAGCTGAATCAATAACTCAACAATCAAATTAAATCTTGCACATGAGTCAGAACAATCTATGTGGTCTGTACGACAGGCTAGGTGTAAATAAGTACGCACAAGTGCTACGATCACGTGAAGGCTGTGCGAAGTATCGCAAGTCACCTACGAGTCGGAACCACCTAATGTGGTCTGTACGACAAGCTGGCACCTGCC